ACCAAACATGCCCACTGTGCCATGGGCAGACTGGAAATTCCATACCAGGCACCAGAGTCCAGGGAGGCCAGGATTTATATTCTGCCTGAGTAGCTGTGAACTTTGGTTTAGAATCATAAAATGTGAGAGCTCGAAAGAAATTTGAAGATGACCTAATTCCTCAACTTCCACATGAGGGAACTGAGAGGATAAGAGGTTACATTGCTAACTGCGGGCAGAGCCGGAACAAGCACCCAGGGCCCCAGCTTTTCTCTCTGTTATGGATTGAATTGTGTCCCCTCAAAATATGTGTTGTAATTTCTAACCTCTACGCCCATGGTTATAATCCCATTTGGGAATGGGTTGTCTTTGTTATGTTAATGAGGCGAGATTAGTGTAGGGCATATCTTGAGTCAATCTCTTGAGATATAAAAGAGATTAAACAAACATTCAAAAAGTATGGACGAGGGAAGAGAGATGCCAAGCCACAGGAAGATTTCCCAGGAGCAGAAACTCAGAAGAGACAAGGACCTTCCTCCAGAGCTGACACAGAGAGAAAGCCTTCCCCTGGAGCTCGCACCCTAAATTTGGACTTCTAGCCTCCTAAACTGTGAGAAAATAAATTTCTGTTTGTTAAAGCCACCTATATGTGGTATTTCTGTTATGACAGCACTAGGTAACTAAGAGTCTCTCTCTCTTTTTTAACTTAAAAACACTTGTTCTTTTCTAATTTTATCCATGACCAAAAAACCAAACAAATATTGTATTATAAAACTGTAACACTTAGAAAGGGAGCGTACTTTGCAAATTCTAGCTCCCAGAAATAACTACTCTTAATAGTTTGTTTTCCTGACTCTTAGTTAACAAAGGCCCCTGTTGTTGCCAGTTGTCGTTGAGTTAGCCCCCGACTCATGGTGACCCCATGCACAATGGAACAAAATGCTGCCCAGTCCCGTGCCATGCCAATGATCAGTTGCGGATAAGACTGTTTTCATTGGCTGATTTTCAGTAGTAGATCACCAGGCCTTTCTTCCTAGTCCATCTTAGTCTGGAAGCTCTGCTGAAACCTGCTTAGCATCACAGCAACATACAAGCCTCCACTGACAGACAGGTGGGGGCTGTGCAGGAGGTGTATTGGCCAGGAATTGAACCCAGGTCTCCCACATGGAAGGTGGTAATTCTACCATTGATCCACTACTGTCTCAGAATAAAGGCCCCTAGGATTACTCTATGAAGATCATTGACAAATCCTCATTTTTCTAAGAATGATATTTTCCAAGTATGACATTCATGGGCAGCAAGGACAAGGAAAAAATACCAATTATTTCACTAGAGCCATAATACAACCATGCAATGCAGGCCAGAGAGCCCCCAATCCAGGCAGCTTTATAAATGAGGCAATAACATAACAAGAGACAGCATAACATCATGGTGGGTAACACAGGCTTGGAAGTCGGTGCGTAATTCAAATCCAAGCTCTGCTTGTATTAGCTGGGTAACCTTAAATTAGTTACCAACCTCTCTGAGCCTCACTTTCTTTATTTTGAAATGGAAACAATAACCCATACATTTGAGCTGTTTCTACTTTTTAGCTATATATACTAATAACATATATTAATAATGCTGCTGTAAACATTTCTGTACAAGTTGTGTGGGCACATGTCTTAGGCTGGGTTCTCTAGAGAAGCAAAACCAGTAAAGCATATAAATATATATATAGAGAGAGATTTATTTCAAGGAAACAGCTCACACAATTGTAGAAGCTAGAACGTCCGAAGTCTGTGGATCTGGGTAGAGGCCTCTCCCAATTCACGCAGCCGCAGAAGTTGGCGAGCCAAAGGTCAGTAGGTCGGAGAGCAGGGCTCTCGCTCACAGGCTGTGAAGGTCAACGAATTCCAAGATCAACAGGTAAGCTGCTAGCTCAAGTCCCAAGAACTGGAGGTGAGATGACAGGAGGCAGCTGCTGGGTCCCGAACAAGCCAAAAACCTTGGCAAGGTGAGCAGGAAGGAAGTAGCCAGCCAAGGGCTAAGAGATGAAGGCCGAGGGGGTGATGAGCTGCCACAGCCCCTGCCCCCGCCAGTACCACTCAACAGATTCCATCATGGGGGTGCTCACATATCCAATTTCAACAGGGAAATGATCACCACATTATACAACTGCCAAAACACTTGAGAATCACGGCCTAGCCAAGTTGACATACAATCTTACCATCACAGCATATGTTTTCATTTCTTTTGTGTCTATACCCAGGAGTGGAATTGCTGCGTCATATGGTAGCTCTATAGTTCACAGTGTGAGGATCTGCCAAACTGTGTCCCAAAAAAGTGGCACCATTTTGCATTCCCACCAGCAATGATGAGGGTTCCAATTTCTCCACATCCTCGACAACTCTTGTTATTGCCTATCTGTCAGACTGCTGTCAGGTTGAAAGAAGATAATGTAGATAAAACATTGAGCATGGGGTGATCTAGCACATTAGAAGCACTCTAAAATGTAGGTGCCAGCATCATGATCATGATCAGATAACTTTGGTCCCTATTAAAAAAACAAAACAAAACAAAAAAAACGAAATCCATTGCTGCGGCATCTGTTCCAGCTCATGGGGGCAACTCCACGTGTTTCAGAGTAGACTGAGCTCCACAGGGTTTTCAATAGCTGTAATCTTACAGAAAGGAGCCATGGTGGTGCAATGGTTAAGTGCTCAGCTGCTAAGTGGAAGGTTGATGGTTTGAATTCACCCAGAGGCTCCATGGAAGAAAAGACCTGGTGATCTGCACCCATAAAGATTACAGCCTAGAAAACCCTATGAGGCAGTTCTACTGTGTCACTTTGGGTTGCTAAGAATTGAAAATCGACTTGACAGCACCTAACAGCTACAATAATCTTATGGAAGTAGATCATCAGGACTTTCTTCCAAGGTGCTGCTAGGTGGATTCAAACCACTAACCTTTCAGTTAGTAGTCCATTACAAACCTTTTGCGCCACCCATGATCATCATCGAATAACTTTGGTTCCTATGGGAGTCTAATATTAGATCATACCAACTCTAGTTTATTGTGAAGGGTCTAGAAACTCCTATTATTGAACCCAGGTATGAAGCAACAATGGGCTCAAACACAGCAACGATTGTGAAGATGGTGCAGGAGCAGGCAGTGTTTCGTTCTGCCGTACATAAGGTTGCCATGAGTTGGAACTGACTCTACGACAGGTAACAACGACAGCAATATGTGGCGAAAGGAGCAAATTTCTTATTTCTAACTCAAAGCAGACGCAATTCAATTTAGAAACTGTTAGCACAGCAAGAATTCATAAAACCCAAATACTAAAGGGTCGAAATGTTTTCTAGGGTTACACTCAATCACACTGAACAGCAGTGCGATGGTGAGTGAAGTGGGTCCTGCCGTAAGGCAGAGTTCAGTGTCCTCTTAGGTCTTGTAGCTCAACGTTTAATTTCCCTAAAATGGAGGCTTTTAAAATAGCACTCTGAAATAAATCACTTACTTGAGCACGGAAGTATGTCAAAACCCAATACAAGCGAATAAGAAACCCCACTTATTTGAACATACACGTTTCACCATGTGACCCTAATACTCCCCAGCATATTTTCTCCTTCAAAATGCACGACTGAGAGCTTGACATAGCTAACTCCATGATGAACCTATAAGTTTTTTTTTTTCTTTGCATTTTCCTTTTCACATACATTTGTTAATGACTTTGTTTTGCTCTGTCTGGCTTACGATCCCCCACAGGAAGATTAGAGCCCAGATGTCAGATATGTGTATTTTTAGCCTGATAAGGAAATGTCCGGCATGTGTCTCCTTAGTATGAAACAGAGTATCTTGTAATTACCTTGTAATGAATAACGACATTCTAACCTTTGTAAAAATCATATATAAGCTCTGGTGTAAAAATGTCTTTTGGGACTCCATAGAGACAGCTTGAGTTGCTGTCAGATCCCCGGTGGTGGACACCTCCTAAAATAAAACTTTCTCACTCTTTCTGACTTGGAGTACTTTTCATTGGCTCGACTGTTCCAGGGCACGGACCCTATTCAGGTAACAACCACCACTGGCAATCCAAACCGGGCTCAAGTTTTCAAACAGCTTATGAAATTTCATGTTTTCAAGTAGCTTTTTTTTTTTTTTTTCCTAACTAGAGAGTAATTGTAGAGTCCTGGTGTGGAAAAGCAATCCACGTTTGCACAGACAGGATGCCATGGGAACAGTGCTCAAATTCAATATGTCTGTCCCCAACAAATAGACAATTGCTGTTTTTTCAGCCTTTCAAAAAAAAAATCAGATAGAGTCCTGGTGGCACAAACGGTTAAGCATTAAGCTGCTAACCGAAAGCTTGGCGGTTCAAACTCACCCAGCGGCTCTTTGGGAGAAAGATCTGGTGGTCTACTCCCATAAAGATTACAACCAAGAAAATCCTATGGGGCAGTTCTACTCTGTAACACATGGGGTCGCTATGAGTCAAAATCAACTTGATGGCACCTAACAGCAACAACAACTTTGGAGTTAATTCATGTTGGTTAATAATGCCCCCACAATTCTGAGCAACATCTGCTCTCAGAAAAAAAAAAAAAAAATCATACGCATGCTAAGATTTCTTAAATTATTCTGGAAAATCATGCTGTTTAGCCCAAGACATTATTATTATTGTGGTGGTGGTTTTGTTAATTAGATAAGCCAAGCAGATGACAGTGAATTCTGTCTTGAATGCTAAGGACTAAATCTTTATATACAGTCTTCCAAAAGGATGCCTTCTACATTCCAGTGATTACAAATGACAATTGGCCTGCCTAAACTTACCCTTTACTTTTAGAAAATTTCGTGGGCTCCTGTCAGCCCGGGGAATTTTTATTACTTGTTTATGGAAACAGTAGGTTGCGTAAGAGTCTAGCTGGCATTTTTTTTTTTTTTTTAAAGCTATTTCGCAGTTTCCTGGTAACCATTCAGTCATCTATTTCAACACTCTGACATGAAATAAAGGCGAGGGCTGAGGCACACATTTGCCGCAAAGACACACACCTCTTTCCCTGAGTATTCGCTAGGTGAAGCGCTCCGTCGGACTAACCAGATCCACTCATGAACACCAACGTCCTGCAGAAACACGGTGTGTTTCTGGAAATAAACCACAAGAACTGCTGTGTGTTCCGGGATGACTTCATTGCCAAGGTGTTGCCTCCAGTGTTGGGGCTGCAGTTTGTGTTTGGGCTCCTGGGCAATGGTCTTGCTCTGTGGATTTTCTGCTTCCACCTCAAGTCCTGGAAATCCAGTCGGATTTTCCTTTTCAACCTAGCGTTGGCTGACTTTTTCCTCATCATCTGCCTGCCGTTCCTGACAGACAACTACGTGAGGAAATGGGACTGGAGGTTTGGGGACACTGCCTGCCGGCTGATGCTCTTCATGTTGGCCATGAACCGCCAGGGCAGCATCATTTTCCTAACAGTGGTGGCCGTGGACAGGTATTTCCGGGTGGTCCATCCCCACCATGCTATAAACAAGATCTCCAATCAGACAGCCACCATCATCTCCTCCGTGTTGTGGGGCATCACCATTGGCCTGACCGGTCATCTCCTCAGTAAAGGCTTCCTCACCCCAAACAATGGTGCATATTTGTGCAGCAGCTTTAGCATCTGCAAAGGCTTTGGGTGGCATGAGGCCATGTTCCTCCTGGAGTTCTTCTTGCCCCTGGGAATCATCCTGTTCTGCTCCGCCAGAATCATCTGGAGCCTGCGGCAGAGGCAAATGGATAAGCACGTGAAGATCAAGAGAGCCATTCGCTTTATCACAGTGGTAACCATTGTCTTCGTCATCTGCTTCCTGCCCAGTGTGGTCGTCAGGATAAGCATTTTCTGGCTCCTGCACACAGTGGGGGTACAGGATTGTAGCCTCTATCGTTCGGTTGACCTGGCATTTTACGTGACTCTCAGCTTCACCTACATGAACAGTATGCTGGACCCGCTGGTGTACTACTTCTCCAGCCCATCTTTCCCCAACTTCTTCTCCTCCATGATCAACCGCTGCCTCCGGAAGTCAACAGGTGAGCCAGATAATAACCGGAGCACAAGCATGGAGCTCACGGAGGATCAGAACACCAGCAGAAATGCTCCAGAGGCTTTAATGGTTAACTCCAGTGAGCCATGGAGCCCCCAACATCTGACCCCCACCTCTCCTTAAATAAACCCAGCCAAGAAGCAAGATTGTCACCAAGAACCATGATCTCCGGATACACAGTTTAGGTGGTGCACAGAGTGACATCACTGGACTTGGCCCAAGGTTTCCTGGGACTTCCACATTCAGAAAATCAGACTTAGAGAAACAGTGTGGCCAAGTGAGCTGCTTGGTTGCAGGATGTCACAACAGAAATCTTGGGGAGAAGGGAGAAGAAGGCTTCCAGGCTTCTGTAACTCTTGCTTAATCTCTGACACCCACAGGACTGAAGATGGCAATGTTTCCAACATTTCCGCTGAGCAGAGTCAGAGGCATAGAGAAGCCCATTGGCACCTGTGACTCACTGGCCTCCTTGCTTCACCTGCCTGAGACTTGGATGGTTCTCAGCTCCTGGGGCAACATCTAGCATGTTTGTGGACTCCAGCTGGGAGAAGGCGAACTAAGTGATTGGAGGGGAGCTATGTTTCTCCTGGAAGGAGCCTAGACATCCTTGAACAAGACAATAGGTTGTTTGGGTTTGGTGAGACCAATTCATCTTTCAGCCACGCTGTGGCAGAAACAGACTAGGCAAAGACACTCACAACCTTTGGTTAATATCTGAGTTGCCAGTGGAGGTAAGAAGGCAATGAACCCCAGGAGAGACTGAACTAAGCAACGTTATTAAGGGGAAGGAAACAGTCTTTGTGCTTCAACCAGCAACTAATCCATTCCTCTCTTGTTTACACTGATTTGAGGGTTGAGCCGTTAAAAGGACTCCAGGAAAGAAAGCATCTTCCCACCTCTGTTTGCTTTTCCCATTAAAAGGGGAGTATGCTGCTGCCCAATGGTCAAAGGTGGGGAGAGTCCCCCTGGTTCCACGGCTTACCACTTGTGTGTTTCTGTACTTAGAATAAATCTACCCCTTCAATAAACTTTGATATGCGACACAGTCTGGGGTTGCATATGTCTGGGTCATGGTTCACAGAAATGGACCTCTTACTTAAGCAGAGACAATTATGGGTTGTTAACTGTGTCCTGTTAGAAAAATCAGATACTGTTGCAAGAGAACAGGACACAGCCACTAAGCTACATCATGAGACAGTTCAGTAAAATTTACCTATGTGTGGGACAACGATGGGAAAGGACTGGGAACAAATAAGAATGATTAATAAGAATGATTTTTTTTGGAACAGTAGATTGTGAATGCATTTTATATTTAGAGTTTCATGAATATTGCTACTAGTACTTGTGTAATAAATAAGGAACTGGCCCAGAATGGAAGAGAGGGCTTCCTAGGGGATAGTTTCGGTACCCAGTTCTCGGATGGAAAAGAGATGACCTGGCTTGAATCTCTGATCAGTCCAAGTTTCTCTTACGTTTTCATTTCCAGTTCGTGTTACTCCTCAATTCTTTAACAAGAGCAGGCTTGCCTTGACCTCCTGACTTGGCTGCAGATAAGAAACTTAGAGACTTAGACTCCCAGATCTGGATAGCAAGAAATGAAGAAAGGTAGAGGTTCTCGAATTTCCGAAATGCTGAGCCAACTGCTCGCTGTATCTCAAACCAACATCACGAGAAACAGAAAGTTAAAAAAAGCAGGGATCACCTTCCTAGAGCGGAAGAGATGGCAGATTACAACTCACAGGAACACAGGGACTCTCCCAAGCCTCAAGTCTGAGTCAGCAGGGAGTCAGGTTATGAAACTCCAATTCTTTGAGCAGACGTGGTGGTTTGCGAGTGTTCAGAACTCAACAATTCACGTTTGTACATTTGTTCATGTATTCAGCCCATTTTTACATATTACGTACCAACCACGTGCCAGGTGCTGTTCTGTTAAGTAGAAAGAGAGCAAGGAGGAAGGTACCCAAGCGTCTTCTTCTGACAGAACTCACACTTCAGAAGGGGAGGCAGATGATGAACAAATGAATCAACAGAGATTTTTTCTTTTTTATTATTGTACTTTAGATGAAGGTTTACAGAACAAACTAGCTTCTCATTAAACAATTAGTACACATATTGTTTCGTGACATTGGTTTCCACCCCCACGACATGTCAACCCTCCCCTCCTCTACCTTGAGATCCCCGTTACCAGCTTTCATGTCCTCTCCTGCCTTCTCGTCCTTGCTCCTGGGCTGGTGTGCCCATTTAGTCTCGTTTTGTTTTATGGGCCTGTCTGATCTTTGGCTAAAGGTTGAACCTCAGGAGTGACTTCATTACTGAGCTAAAAGGGTATCCGGGAGCCATACTCTTGGGGTTTCTGTAGTCTCTGTCAGGCCAGTAAGCCTGATTGAAAAGGGAATTTTGGATTGCTATGGAGGCCAAGGCACTTCATGCTCAGCCACCACCCGTGTATTTTGCAGTCACCTATTTCAACACTATGACATGATATAAAGGTGAGTGCTAAACCACACATTCGCCATTCAGATATACATCTCTTTCCTTAAGCACTCTCTAGGTGATGCAGTCCATCGGGCTAACCAGATCCACCCATGAATGAGAATGTCCTGCAGAAAGCTGGCAGTTTTCTCGAAATACGCAGGAACTGTTGTGTATTCCCTGGATGACATAATCCCCAAGGTGTTGCCTCCAGTGTTGGGGCTGGAGTTTGTGTTTGGGCTTCTGGGCAATGGCCTTGCTTTGTGGATTTTCTGCTTCCACCTCAAGTTCTGGAAATCTAACCAGATTTTCCTTTTCAACCTGACAGTGGCTAACTTTCTCCTCACCATCTGCCTGCCTTTCCTGATAGACAAGTACACGAGGAAATGTGACTTGAAGTTTGGGAACATTAACTGCTGGCTGATGCTCTTCATGTTGGCCATGAGCCAAAAGAGCAGCAGCATCTTCTTCCTGGTGGTGGCTGTGGACAGGTATTACCGGGTGGTCCATTCCCACCACAGTCTAAACAAGATCTTCAATTGAACAGCCACCATCATCTCCTGCCTCTTATGAGCTATCATCATTGGCCTGACCTGTCACCTCTTGTAGAAAAAGATGCTGACAGAAAACAGTTGTACATATTTGTACAGTAGCTTTATCATCTGCAATATGTTCGGGTGGCATGATGTTCTGTTCCTCCTGGAGTTCTTCTTGCCCCTGGGCATCACCGTGTTCTGCTCAGCCAGAACCATCTGAAGCCCACAGCAGAGGCAAATGGACAGGCACGGGATGATCAAGAGAGCCATTCGCTTTATCATGGTGGTGGCCATCGTCTTCATCATCTGCTTCCTGCGCAATGTGGTCACGAGGATAGGGATTTTCTGAGTCCAGCACACAGTTGGGATCAAGACTGTAGCATCTATTGCTCACCTAACCTGGCATTTATCATTACCCTCAGACTTATATACATGAATAGCATGATGCATCCCATGCTGTACTACTTTAGTCCATCTTTCCCCTGCTTCTTCTCCACAATGATCGACCACTGCCTCCAGAAAAAGATGCAAGGTGTGCCAGATAATAACTGAACCAGGAGCCTGGAGACCCGGAGGATATGAGCACCATCAGGAATACGCCAGAAGCTTTAATGGCCAACTTCAGTGAGTCATGGAGCCCCCATTATTGGACCCCATGCTCTCCTTAAATAACCCAGTCAAGAAGCGACATTGTCAACAAAACCATGACCTCTGGATACATAGGTTAGTTTGTTCACAGAGTAACATCACTGGAATTGGTCCGAGATTTCCTGGGACTTCCACATTCAAAGAATCATACTTAGAGAAACACAGTGTGGCTGAGTGAGCCAATTGCTTGCAGGTTGTCACTACAGTAGTCTTGGGGGGAAGGGACAGTGAAGCTTCTAGGCTTGTGAAACTCTTGCTTAATCCCTGCCATACACAGGCGTGAAGATGGCAACCTTTCCAACATTTCTGCTGAGCAGAGTCAGGGGCTCACCTTTATATCATGTCATAGTGTTGAAATAGGTGACTGCAAAATACACGGGTGGTGGCTGAGCATGAAGTGCCTTGGCCTCCATAGCAATCCAAAATTCCCTTTTCAATCAGGCTTACTGGCCTGACAGAGACTACAGAAACCCCAAGAGTATGGCTCCCGGATACCCTTTTAGCTCAGTAATGAAGTCACTCCTGAGGTTCAACCTTTAGCCAAAGATCAGACAGGCCCATAAAACAAAACGAGACTAAATGGGCACACCAGCCCAGGAGCAAGGACGAGAAGGCAGGAGAGGACATGAAAGCTGGTAACGGGGATCTCAAGGTAGAGGAGGGGAGGGTTGACATGTCGTGGGGGTGGAAACCAATGCCTGAGACCTGGATGGTTCTTAGCTCCAGCGGCAATATTTAGCCTATTTATCAGCTCCAGCTGGGAAAAGGAGAGCTGACTGAGTGGAGGGGAGCTATGTTTCTTCTGGAGGGAGCATACACATCATTAAACAGTAGGTCAACAGGGTTTGGTGGGACCAATTCATCTTTCAGCCACACTGTAGCAGAGACAGACTAGGCAATGACCCTCACAGCCTTTGGTTAATATCTGAGTTGCCAGTGGATGTAAGAAGGCAATGAGCCCCAGGAGAGACTGAGCTAAACAACCTTATTAAGGGGAAGGAAATGGACTTTGTGCTTCAGCCAACAACTAATCCATTCCTCTCATGTTTACACTAATTTGAGGGTGAGCCATTAAAAGCGCTCCAGGAAAGAAAGCATCTTCCCACCTCTGTTTTTCCCATTAAAAGAAGAGTGTTCTGCTGCCAAGGAGCCCTGGTGGCACAGTGGTTAAGCATTTGGCTGCTAACCAAAAGGTTTGGAGTTCGAAGCCACTAGCTGCTCTGTGAGAGAAAGATGTGGCACTCTGCTTCCATAAAAATTACAGCCTTGGATATTAGCCCAAGAGACAGAAAGGGCCACATAAACCAGAGACTTCATCAGCCCGAGACGAGAAGAACTAGACAGTGCCCGCTACCACCAATGACTGCCCTAACAGGGAACACAACAGAGAGTCCTGGATGGAGAGGAGAAAGGTGGGGTGCAGAACTCTAATTCTAGCAAGAAGACCAGACTTAATGGTATGACTGAGACTGGAGGAACCCCGGAAAACATGGTCCCTGGATTCTCTATCAGCCCAGAACTAAAACAATTTCCAAGGCCAACTCTTCAGACAGGGATTGGACTTCACTGTGGGACATAAAGTGATACTCATGAGGAGTGTGCCTCTTAGCTCAAGTAGATACAAGAGACTAAATGGGCAGCTTCTGTCTGGAGGTGAGATGGGAAGGTAGAGAGGGTTAGGAAGAGGTTGAATGGACATGGGGAATCAGGTGGCAATGAGGAGTGTGCTGTCACAGTATGGGGGGAGCAATTAGAGTCACATAGCAATGTATGTATAAATTTTTGTACGGGAAAAAATAAAACCAATAAATAAATAAAAAAGATTACAGCCTTGGAAACCTGTGAGTCGGAGTCGACTCCACGGCAGTGGGTTAGGGTTTGAGCAGTTAAAAAGGCTTCAGAAAGAAAGCAGCTTCCTACCTCTGAATGCTTTTCCAATTAAAAGAAGTGTGCTATAGTGCCCAATGATAAAAGAGGGAAGATTCCTCTTGGTTCCTCTGCTTACCACTTGTGTGTTTCTGTACTTCGAATAAATCTACCACTTCAATAAATTTTGATATGACACACAGTCTGGCGTTGCATATGTCTGGGTCATAGTTCACAGAAATGGACTTCTTACTTAAGCAGAGATCTTCATGGATTATTAACTGTGACTCGTTAGAAAATCAGATACTGGAAAGTAAGAGAAGAACACAGACACTGACCTACATCATGAGACGGTTAAGTAAAATTTACCTATGTATGAGACCAGGATGGAAAAGGACTAGGAACAAATAAGAACGATTTAGTTAGGAAGAGTAGATTGTGAACGCATTTAAATTCTCTTTTGAGTTCAGTGAATATTGCTGTTAGCATTTGTGTGTTAAAAAAAGAACC